AGTCTACAACAGAAGAGGGGATAGTCTACAACAGAAGAGGGGATAGTCTACAACACAGACATGTTTACATTGTTTAGTAGGGGTAGGAACCTTTTACTCTCTCACGATTTGATTCAAAATTGATTTTTCATTCAAAACTGATAATGATAGCCCATTTGTCGTGTTCCCAAATTGCTTCATCCTCATTTTGCAAACCTCACACACCTGGCTCATGTCAGCCTCAGACTCATTCAGTAAAAAACAAAAAGAGCCCAAATCTTTGCATTCAGTGAAGATATGGTCAGTTGAATCTCTTTTTCCTCCAGTTTTGTAGTTTCCTCTTTGTTTTGATGCTTTCTGCACATTCATATGTTCCAGAAGCAGCTGTGTGATGACGTCAGAACGTCCCATGTAGTTAAAGAAATGGAGGCAGACAGCCATTGGATTGGATTTATTTTTATTATTTATAAAAACTGATTTTGGGACAGTTTAAATCGATTCTGAATCTTTGTAAATGAGAATCACGATTCTGATGTAAAACGATTTTTTGGTGCACCCCTATTGTCTAGGGTCTACAGATTGTTTAGAGAGCTCAGACCACTTCTACCACGGTTAGTGACCGCGGCACATAGTACCTTTGTTAAAAAAAGAAGGTTGAGCACTAYGAACAGTAAGGTTTTTATCACTGTACCATCTACCCTTGTAAACATGCACTGACAGCATCAGATTATAAACACAAAAAGTTCAGTATTGTGCAGTATGTACTCAGAGTACAGTTAATAATATCAGAAAGTCACACTGAGTCATATCAACACAGCCTCTGTGTCTCTGCAGACTTCAGCAGCTTGTAAGGATCGTTGCTTTAATATAACTAAATACCTTGATTTAGATTTATAATCCAGTCGGGTGTCCTGAAAGCCACTTTTTAAACAAAATAATGCTCATCTTCATCATTCAGTGGCCTTTTTGCAGTTTTTTTCCTTTGCTTTTATTCTCCCACACTGGTTTTTTTGCTACAAGCTAAATGCTAGCCCACAAACATGGTGCGGACGGTAAAAAGTCCCGTCTATAAGAAATCAATCAATATCTCAGTAAGTTGGTTTGGATTCTCAGCCTCTCGAGATGAGACAATCCTCAGGTGGTTAAATAAAAAAAAATCAACTGGATTTATTTCTCATCTACAAAATCTTATTTAAAGACTTAAGATCAATCACACAAAAWCCTCGAATCAATCTCAGACACAAGCTAAAAATAAATCGATATTTTTGAGAATCAGACAGAAAGTTTAGTGCTGGAATTATTGCAATAAAAACATGATATGAACATTACGCACTAATAAATACTAATATTGTGCAGCTTTGGTTTGATGTATTT